CAACCGTTCATGATCTCTTAATAAGCCCCCATTTCTAGCGAGATCTAGGTTACCTAAAGAGCTCCCATTAAAATTGAGTTTGAGAGAACCCTCAGAAGGAGGCTTCCAAATAGAATGAGGACGAAATCTGGGTTGGAAAGAGAAAGCTAGACTCTTCAAATTAACAAAGATATCAGCCTGCAATACTCCCTTGCCTTCGTTGGTGGTAGCAAACCAATCCCAAAGAGTTTGTAAAATTCTATCCTTAATACTTGCCAAATCCAAAGAAGACCCTTCAAAGATTCTCCTATTGTGTTCAAGTCAAATTTCCCAAAGGATAGCACTTCTATATATCTTCCAAATAAGAATTCATTTAGATGGCAAAAAGAAAAATTGAGATGATTAACAATGCTAATTAAATTTTCAGGAAGCATATGAGAGAAACCTGTATAACAAAATGTCCAGTTCAAGATATTCTTAACAAAATGGCAGTGTAAGAATATGGCGACCAGTTGCTTCATCTTGTTTGCACATGAGGCAGATATTAGGCAACATTCTAACCCTTTTTCGAAGATTATCAACAGTGAGATATTTATCTTGCAAAACTGCGAAAAGAACGCTTGGATTTTCAAAGGAATAGGCTTATTTCTAAAGAGCATTAAGAAGACTATTGGACCATCCAACCTGATTAAAGAAAAGTAACACGTAGGCTAACTTGACTGAGAAGAAGACCATCACCTTCACTTTCCCAAACAACCTCGTCCGAACCAGAAGGAGAGATATAAACATCTTCGAGTAGCAACAACAAGCTTTGAAGCTTAGAGATAACACTATCTGACAATCTGTTATAGCTACAAGCTGTCCTAAACTAAACCCGAAGGAGAATAAGATAAAAGGTCCAAAATTTTTGTTGCAGCATAATAAGATAAAAAGCTTGGGAATAGATATGAGAGTGGTGTATCACCATGTCATTTACTAAACCAAAAGAAAATGTCTTACCCATTACCAATCAACCATCTGACACTGCTGATAACCATATTTTAAAGTTGTAAATGCCTTTAAAGATATGCGAAGAATGTTTACATCCTTTCCCTTTTGTGATTAAATAAGAAATATGATCAGAATTGTATTTAGCAGCTAGATTTATTTCCATAGGTGGTTTGGGCCTTGAATAATTCTCCGCCACCATTTCGAAAAGAGAGCCTAATTCATGAATTTCAATTTTCAAATATCCAGTCCACTCATTTTAATTGGGGTAAAAATCTTATCTCAACCCACCAAATGGAACTTTTTATGATCATCATCAAAAGAACCCAGATAAAATTGCGCATATACTGGTCATAATGTTAATAACATTATCAGGTATTTGAAGAATGGACATTAAATAAATGGGAAAGTTAGAATAGGTTGACTTTACAAAGGTGATACGACCTCCTGTGGATAAGGAATTTGAGTTCCCTAGAACTAGCTTGACTTGATATCTCTCAATCAAACATTCCCAAACAGCCCGAGGAAGCTTAGAGTCTTAGATAGAAACCCCCAAATATTTCAAAGGAAACTTTTTACTTTGCATCCAAGGATATCAGCTAAAGGGCTCACAAAATCCTGGTTGTAAAAAACCCCACCCATTGAAGCCTCGTGAAAGTTGACTTTAAGGTCTAGGGCTAGCTGGCAACATTTAAGGAAGATACTGAGATTGTTGATCTATATAGGATCTGCATTACAAAAAATTATTGTATCATCAACATGTTGCAAATGAGAAATAATAGGCCCATTTGACGGCACCTAGAAACACGACAGTCTTCCTTTTCTGTCCACATTTTTTAGCATCATACCGAAGCCCTCTGCAACCAAAGTGAATAAGAATGGAGAACGGGAATCCCCTGCCTATTTCCCTTTGAATCCTTAAAGATCCCTTTAGGACAACTATCGATAAGAATAAAGAAGCGAGTCAAAGATAAACAACTCATTATCCAAGAAATCCATTTTGAGCCAAAACCCATACAACTCATAATTTCCTATAAAGTTTGACAATCAACCCTGTCTTCCATATCCAATTTTATCACTACCCCAGCTTTCCCTTCAAAAGACCAAGAAGGAAGACATTCTTAAGTAACTAGAATACTATAAAAAATCATTCTTTTTCGAATGAAAGCAGATTGTTAACCAGAGACAACAAAAGGGAGGACAACCTTTTGGCAAGGAATTTAGCGATAATTTTGTAAAGGCTTGATAAGAGATTGATAAGTCTAATATTACCTATTTCTAAAACTAAATCTTTCTTAGGAATAATAAAGATATAGGTTGAGTTAATACTTTTAGGCATCCCTCCACTACACAATAATTCAGTTACCAAGAATACGAAATCTTACTTTAGCAAGCCCCAAAACCTTTGAAAAAAAAAAAGAGGAAAGCACAAAGACCGACCACTTGACCTCTTCCTCAAAACCTTCCTTTTCAAGCTCCTCAACCAGATATGAGGGTAAAGATTTGAAGGGAACCCCATCCATATTAACCCCAAATCGATGCTCTCAAGAGAAAGCCCTTAAAAAATATTGGATAATGGCATTATCCTTTTCTTGAGTATCTCCCTCAGGTACTCCAGGCATTTTCAGGGTTGTGATATCATTTTGCTTTCTACGAGCATTGACAATGGCATGAAAGAATATCGTATTTTTCTCACCCTCCTTTAGCCATTTCACTCGAGACCTTCGCCACCAATATATCTCTTCTAGTCTTAGATACTCATGCAACTGATTGAGCAACCAATTTTTATTACTCAGTAGAGCTTCTAAAAGCAGATGATGCTATTGGATCTAATTTTTCAACAATTCAAGATCCATTAAAGTGGTCTCAATTTTTTCTTGAGCTGATACCTAGTTTCTTTCTTCCAAGCAATGATTTTTTGTTTGAGAATAATTAGTTTCTTGTGCAATTGGTAGCCAACACACCCATGTACGTAACAAGTTTCCCAGGTTTGTTTGGTAATTTCAACAACATCAGGTTCTTTAAGCCATCCAATTTCTAGGTGTAAAGGTCTGGGGCCAGAAATAACATCGTCAGTATGCAAACATATTGCAAGTGGTCTAAGGATAACTTAATTAAAGCATTAATTTTAACCAGGGGGAAAGGCTTCTGCAGACACTAAAAATCAATAGAGCTTGGACAAAATTAGCTAATTGGCACTGTTGTTGGACCAAATAAAATGAGCGCAGTTACAGGAAGATCAAAAAAATTATTTTTTATGAGGAATTCATTAAACAAATGTATATGAGAATTAAAACGGACTTGATACATCTAACCAAAAATTCTCTCTCAACTCCTAGTAGCTAAAGAAACGGTTCTTGCAACGAGCCAACTGCGGAGCAAGTGCTTTGACCGCTACACAAGCCTTTTTTTGGAAGTTCACTTTTGGGGACTAGCTTCCACCGCTAGCGCTTGAACTTGGAAGCAAGCGACCATGGCCATGGAGGAGCCACGGGATGAAACCACCCATATTGAATTAAAACACCCTCCATGGCACATTGACTAACCACACATATACGCCCACTAACCATACACATGCGCCCACTAAGTTAAATTAGAAAAATAGTTCAAAACTCGATCTTGTGAGGAAATATCATTCAAGTTTCAATTCTTTATAACATACCAAAATGGTCCAGTATCATACTATAGTTTTAATCATTTTAAATGAAAATTTTGTACAGACCGATAATTTAAAAACTTCCCAATAGCCCAACCTTTCTCTTTCAAGCAAGATTAAATCTCCTTCAAACTGTCAACATACTCCCTCATTTTCTCCTCCCAACCCCTTTTTACCTCATGAGCTGTATGAGTAATTGTTGATGTCAAATGTCATATAAAAAAAGTGAAAAAAAAGAGGGAAGGGAGGGGTTGAGATGAGATAGTGCATTGATAGTTTTAGTGGAAATTTAATGCCACTTGAAATTTTTAAATTAATGCACTAATCATTTTCAAATAATTCTAGTTCCCATATTTATTAGAAAATAATTTGAAATAGATATGTTTTAGCACTCAAACGTATAAGTGTGCATATCTAAGTGTGTTAATGTATTTGAACCTTTATGTTGTTTTAATACGGCGGCTTCTCAATCAGCATAATGAATTGAGTCTTAAATTAAGACCCATAGTGGCAAGCCTTGAGTTACAAAGACATCTTTCAGTAGTTATATGCATTTAAAAAGCCAACACATTGTCTATGCAGGTAATGTGCTTTATCTCATTATCCACAAGTGCTCTAGAGATACAACTATCTATGGGTGAGTCAATAAGACACCTCTACCTCCACACTTAGGTAATTATTAGAATGCTTTAGCAAAAACTTTAGAAGCTCAACACATATCGATAGACATCATTAAGATTATTAAAATACTTATTTCACTAGGCTGGTTTACCATTATTGGTTTCAAGTGATAGATTTCAGCTTTGGAAATAGGGGAGGTTAGGTGGCCTGGAGCCTCAAAGTAACATCGTACCCTCGATTCCCGCCATCAACAATCAGAAAAAGTGATGGTTTCATTTTGGTTCTTTTCAGATCTCATAATCACTTTGCTTACAAAGCAAAAGTGTATCAACCAAGTTCTCAACAAAAAGTGACGATTGCAGTTCCGTCCTTCGCGGTTTTTATAATCACTTCACTTGCAATGCACGAGTGGATCAACCAAGTTCTCCTTGATGAAAACGTTAAGATGGCCCAACTCAACATGGAAGGTAATTTTTGCGTTTTTCGCAAAGATATCTATTTTCCCTGATTTATAGATGTTTTGTGGTTGCATTACTCACGTATTGTAGTTGGTACGTTTTGTTAATTCCCACATACGAGAAAGATCCGACCACTGAATCACCAGAGTATGAAGAGGCCTCTAACCTTCGCCAAAATTAGAGGAATATTAGAGGCACCCAAGTACTAATGCAGTATGATGCTTCACAGAATAACATGTTCAATATAACCTATACCAATGGTTTATTTTGCTTAAATTAACCACACATTAGAAGCTAAGGAGCTAACACCTTGAAAACCCCTCAAATGAATAATTACATCAAAATATTGGCATGTCCCACAAATCATGGGCCAAACAATTTTGTCCTCATAAGAACAAATCCAGCAAAAAATGGTTAAATACAAAAATAATTATATATATTTGAATAGATATGGCGAACAAGAACATGTCAGGAATTTCTTGAACTGCACAAAAATGCTTGAATTGGTGAAGAGCCAAGCATATGGAACACATAAAACGCTGAAGGGGTTATCTAGAACTTGCTTCTGCAGGCTCATCCTTGGAACTAGGAGGAGCCCCAGGAAGGCTGAGATCTCCTATGCCTAAGGGAGGTCCAATGCTGCATCGTTCGGTATTATGTTGCACGATAGCATCCTTTATCCTTTGAAACTGCATGCAAATTTTGAGGAATGAAAAAGAAAAAAAAAATAATTAGTTAGAAGACACATAGACGCAACAGAAATGGGAGGCAATATCTTATTTCTTGTCTTGCTTCTAGCAGTCAATTCAGTGGCAATATCTTATTTCATGTCTCACTTCTAGCAGTAAGTTCAGTGCCATGTAGTTCTTTCATAGAATATGATAATGCTTTCCGAAAGATGATTAAAGTTTCTAAGTGTTGATCCGCTTTCCTGAATTGCTAAATAAATATTGGACATCTTCTTACTTTGAGGTGGGAATTGGCAGCTGGCTCGTGATGGTTACATAGTGAAATTACACCACTATAACCAAGGTTTGAATCCCACTCCTAACGAACCCAAAATGAAAAAAGAAAGAAAAAATTCCCTCGTTTCATGGAAGCATCATGTGCACAACATAGCAGACTGATTCCATATTTCACTTTTTAACCCCATGTTATCATGTAATATGACTATAGAAAAAAGAAATATTCCCATTATTCCTAACGCTATCCAATGTTGCCATTACAATTTCAGCAAGGTCACTATGCTCATCCCCGTATAGGCACGAAAACAAAATATGGAACTATTTCAAAGTTAAACTTCTAAATCGAATAAGAGAATACTAACCTTTGCAAGAGAACATGAAAAAGCCTCCAACTGCCCATCTGCGCCTCTGTAGAAATGGAAGTAGGGAAGTACTTTCACATTCAAGCTTTTACACATTGGTTTGTTCTCATCGAAATTCACTTTAAGGAATAAGATGTCTGGATGCTCTTCTGCGGTTTTGCAGAGCTGCAGGTTACCAAAAAGCAAGAAGACGTTATCCAACTAATGCAACAAATTTATTAACAGTAGCAGTTGACTACTAGAGAACAGCTTGATCAAAGTGAAGAATAGATTACAAAAGCACTATTTTATGAATGATGTCATGGATATGCTCCTAATACAAATAAAATTGAATCAATTTATGCCAACACAACTCAGAAGACAACTACAAAAAGAAATACATTAAAGAAAAAAGTACCAATCAAATCCAGGAAAGAATAAAAACTTCAGTTTCAAGGAGCAATTTCCATGGAAATGTCTGTACTCAATTGGTCCTTCAAAGATTGGCTAAAATCATAATTAGGCATGGCCCAAATTGCTGCATTCTGCGCAAAATGGTTTGACCTATCCAGAGTCGCCGGAATCTCTTAAGATAGGTGACAATCCCAATCTGGAACCTCACTCTAGCGCTCTATTCAAGGGATTTCAATTTTTAAATTCTAGGATTTCGATCCCCACTGTTCGGGATCCCTATTCCTACTGTTAGGGATCATGATCACAACCTTCAAAACCAATAATAACTAAACTGTTGATTATCTTAATTTATAGCCAGCTAGCACCACAATTGTTCTTATAATATAGTTGCATGGCTTGCTTGCTAGAAATAAAGATCCCTACTTTAAATAGCATATATTTAGTTTTACATACTCTTTTAAGGTTTGGAGCAAGATCCATAAAAGTTGGGATCGATCCCAAAAGGTCAGGACCAAAATACCCAAAAGGTTGGGATCTTGACCTATAATATTGAGGATCTAGGCCCCTAACATATTATGTGTTGTACAGATGGTTCTCACAACCATTAGGGATCTTCTAGCATTCCAAAATCCCTCGATCCTGCTCCCAATCCCAACAACTATGGACCTATCATAAAAGATCTTGGGTCTAAACCTCTTGTTTCAAGTAACATTCCATATTTCTATACACTGAGAAGTTCCTTGCTAGACACAAATACCGGCAGAAGGATCCCCAGCAGCAGCATGCATATTTCAAATGTTTTCATATCATTTGACATTTCAAAAACGCGATCATTTATTGTTTCAGCATTGGCAAAAGTCGATACAACATAAAATGTGGAATTCTTGTAAATACCTAGGCTCAACTAACTCCATGAGGTTGAAGGACTTAAAAGTCCACAACACACCACATTCATTTCAAATGTGTGATTTAGTACTTCATTCTATACGTATTGTTATCCACGTCTTCTTCCCAAGAGGCAACTTGCAACAACAATACTTTCATGAATGAAGACTATCACCATCAGGGAAGAACTACATGAGATTGGAAGTATGACAGCATCTTAGTGATTTTAAAATTTAAAATGAAAAGAACAGAAGCCAATTCACAAGATAAAGGGAAGGTTCACAAATCTATAAGAAGTACATCGGTTGTTTTATGGCAAGAATGATGCTCAAGCACATTGTATAGCAGCATACCACATATCACATTACATGGACTCTCGCTTCCAATCTAATTTTGATATCTACAGCTTACTCTAGTTGCTCATCAAAACTGGCCCCACTTAGCTAAAACACACATTCCCACATTTGGACCATCATGAGTACATTGTGGGGCTACCATCAGGCCTATGCATAGTTTCCTTTGGGTTTCAGCTACGTCCTATGCTTGCCTAGTTCAGGAATGTTAAGGAAACATTTAGGCTAGTAACAGGTGAAATGGAAGGGACAAATAGCTCCGAAAATGCTACGAAACTACTGGTTTGTAATGAAAAACAATTCCCTCGAACAAAGTTCAAATAACCAAAGGTTTCGCTCTTACTCCACACACACCAGACAAAGACAACTAAAACAGACGGTGAACAGATGGTGAGGGTAATAAATATACTCGCAAGGGATCTTGTGGAAAGTGTCACAGCATATAAGAATCCCAAGTAAGATTGTCCCAGCATGGATCTCTCCCAGAAAGATAGAGATGTTCCATTTGACGGAGTGCATTCAGTGGTACTTGGTACACACAATTGAATCCAAATAATCCCAAGATGAGACACCAAAGCTCGATTGCCACTTCATAATGCCGAAAGAGGCGCAATACAGATTCTGCATCACTGCAGCACAAAATACACATATTAGTGATGAGCACGCCCCTGCTTCAAAGATAGTGTATTGTGAGTGCCTTTTCAGAACACAATTAAATGCTTGAATATCGGGTTGGTCCAGGTCTCAATCATCCTTTCCAGAAAACATTATTTTCTCATATGATCAAGTGTTTGATGGCACAATCTAACCAAGAGAGCTCCATTAGGGGCACCACTCTAGCTGGTCTATCTCTTGCAGTATAGAAGAAACCATTGCAGTTGGTTCTGTAGACTGTTAAGCGTCAGAATCTACGTTCTTCTAGGTGCACCACAGATTTGGATTTCGCAGTGCCTGATGCTTGGTGCCACTGGACTACCTGTGCCACAAGAGCATCTTGATTTGCGGTGAGCGTGCATAGTTGAGATTACACAGGCTGTACAGGCAAATAGAAGGTTACGAGATAGACATACAATCCCGTGATAGGTAAATAGGGATGCAAATGGGTTAGGCCGGTGCTAGGTGATCGGACCGGACTCAATCCACCAAGTGGGGTCCAACTCAAAATAAAAACATATATATATA